CCTACTCAATTATCAAAATAAGCAAAGACATTTTTAATTTTTGATCAACCCCCCCCCCCACAAAAAAAAATGTGTGAATGATAAACTAGCTACTTAAATTTAATTTTCTATCAGAAACTACTTCCGATGTAGAGGTTGAAGCGATTAACTCACACTAGTTAATCACAGCTAATTAAAAATATGTTCCAATATAAAGACAATATAAGTAATTTTTAACATCTAGATTAAAATCCAAATGGAACTGTTGCCATCTCTTTTAATATAAGGTAGTTATTTTCATTTGATTAACAGGACTTTTACCATAAATATTAATTTAAGCTATAAAATAATATTTCCTTAATTTTTTTAGTTTGAAACTAAAGTTGTATTTGGAATGACTAAGAATAGACATTTGAAATGTAGCTTGAAAAGAAAGAAGTCGTTGAATATAATATTATAAAAGTATAATTATAACATAATATTCTATACTTACCAGTAGTTCTCAATCTTTTTAATACCGTGACCCACATTGTTTCACTTTTCAACAATTTGTGAAAAACAAATTTTGTATTATATAAATACGTATACATTTTTATTAGGTATTTGGTTTTTTATAGGTTTATAATTAATATGAATACAAATATAATTAATATAATTAAAATGTACTTTTTATAATGAGGTACCTAACACAAATTTCTTGGAATCTATAAAATTCAAAAAAATGTTCCCGACCCACCAAAAATTGACTGACGACCCACCAGTGGGTCGCGACCCACACTTTGAGAAACGCTGTTCTATACAATTACACACGTATACACGCAGGACGCATGTCGATAAAACTCATATTTCTGTACTGGATTGAAGACCTGCGTCTATCAAGCCATTATTCAGTTAAATAAATTACACCTCACGAAGCGTTATAAGTATGGTTTAAAAATTGATGTGATTTTAAATACATCAAGCGTATCTCAAGAAACCGAGGACCAAAAACGTATCATCTATTGAATCAAAAGAAAACCACATAGATAAAAAAGATCCATCATTCAGAAAATGCGTGTAATTTAAGATAAAATGTTTAACGATTACCTCAATAATTAAGCTAGAAAAAAAAATAAGAAAGGATGCCCAAAAAGTGTTGACGCTTATCAGAGAAAATAAGTTATATATGAGAGTTGTATGCAGTTGCTTTAGAGTTGCTTAGTTGATGAGAATATACGTGTAGCACTCAGAAAATGAATTTTGGAAAAGTATTTCATGCAATTAGTTATTAATTATTAGAAACGCTTACAATTAAATTTTTTAGAAAACATATGGTGGTGTATAAATAATATTTAATTAAGTAAAATCTATGAATTACCCAATTTCGGGAGTACTAAAAAAATGTATTAAACACCATCGATGGCGAAATCACATGTGATATAAAATGTCCACTGAGAATAATAGATGGAAACCAAAGCATGTGAACATGTCAAGGTTTTTGTTTAAATACACTTGCCAAGTTAGACGTCAAAATAGGAAATATATAGTTTCTAACAACATGAAGTTATATATGTGAGTTTAAACATCACGTTTCAAACAACTATTCATTCGTTAATGTCTTAACAAATAATGAACAATAATTACGATTAAGATCAATTATTTCCAGTGTTATTCCTTATAACAGTGGCACATAAGTCTTAGATGATATTTAGATGTCATACGTTTAAACGTTTTTAACAAGAAACACATTAATATCAGTAATAATAATGAAACTGCTTAAATTTATTTTGGAATTTCAACTGTATAATTATTATTTATTATTCATACATTTTAAATCATAAAAACATACTTATAAAATTATAAATTAACATTAAACTATTATTATCTTAAATCTAATACTTTACCACAAAATGTTTACATCAAAAAATTCTTGTCCTACCTCACAATAAACATTAAAAACATTACCAATGGTGTGTTCAAAAATCAACGTACATTATTAAATAAATACTATTTTTTTTTTTTACTCTTCTATATTAATTATCAATTACCATGAAATTGTTATAACCCACTCAATTACATATTCAATTATTTGATTCATTGTTGCGCATAGTTTATAACTAAATATAATTTTTTTTTTCTGCATAAACTAATATTATGTTTTTCACTATTTACAGATTAAAACTAATTGTTAAAATAAATATAAATACATATCCTAAAAAATAGTTGTTTAAACATTCCTTTCTGATCGATTCTCATATATTATTATGAATTAACTAAAACGTTGTAACGTTTATGTTTTGTTTCATATTCATTGCTTATAAAATATGAACTTGGCCATGCTTGGAAATATATTATATGATGACATTTTAGAGGGTCTTTAGAACGTTTACGTAAATAAATGAAATTAAAAAAAAATAAAGCACCCAAAATGTACGCCTGGACGTTATTGCATCGTCGTTTTATTTTTCATTTCCTCCTTTCAGTCGTACGTACCTCGGTAATATTATTTGTCTTCCTTTCGCAATCATACAAAATACATTTTCTTAGCCGACTTGAAAATAAACGATCACCCGACTTCTAAAAGAACACTACGTGCTTTTAAAAACTTTACAAAGCGTCGAGGTTCGTAGTAAAAATTGCAAATACATGCAGCTCTCAATCATCGGTACACCATCTGTCGGGAACATATTACGATTGCAACAACTCTTTTAAAACTTTTCTATTCGTTTGCCATCGATATTATTTTCGCAGCTTCAACCTGAAATCTCAATATAAATATTATACGTAGTCTGCAAGGTATTGGCGTATTGCGGGTTTGCTTTTACATATGGTGAGAAAACTTTAGGCAGAGGGTTAGCGAATGAAATGAATTAATATCCATCGAACAGTTTTATACGAAACGTATATTGTGATGCCTGAGTGCGTGTACATAAAAAATGTATATATATATATATTATGAGGCTAGCGAAAAATTGTTTGCAATAATTGCAGTTGTTTCCCTATTTATTCAAATCATATATAAATAAATCGCATTAGATCACATTTTTTGAGATCGAAAAATTATTCCATTTTAATGCGATTTCTTTTAATCAGATTAAGCTGTATACAGTGTTCACTAATTACTATATGTATACTAATTTGAGTACATAACCGTACATTGTACATACCCTAAAATATACATGATATGTTAGCATATTATCATATTATACCCAGCCACACAGTGATTGTTTTAATTAGCCAGGGTGTAAACATTTGCATACCTACCACCTTTTATGGAATATGTTACAATATATTTTTAAACGGAAATGATATGCCCAAGTCGGGTATAGTAAAAAATGTATTCATTCAATGGTTTACATAAATTTAAGGGGCCAATTGTGGGCCACCAAATATCATATTTAAGGACTCACTTTTGATTCATCAAATGTTTAGTATTTGTTTATGTAACCAAGAATAATTGGTATATTAAATACTGTATAACCCAACCTATAGTTATAATGTGCATATTATATATGTCTTCTCCAGTAGTGATGTAAATCTAGAACTATTAACTAATAAGCATACTACTTATAGATAATAACAGTATTATATTTTATACTTTTAAGTTACAATTTTATAATTTGACTTAAATGTAATCACGTTTGAATTATTACCTATTTTTTTAAAATTTAAACTCTAATAAATGGTATATCTTGACGTGGACGTGACGACTTCAGTCCAATCATTGATCGTCTTACCTATTTTTTTCCCATGAGAGTTGGGAAATCCTTTGGCGATAAAAGCTTTATTTTTTAGTTTAACTGTCTTCAAATATGTATCTATTTGGATTTTGAATATTGATAATGTTTTACATTAATTGTACGTTAAATGTATTTTTAGTATAAAAAACGTCAAGTTGGCGTTTACGTTATTAGTGGCATACTAATAATTTTTTTCGCACAAATAAAAATCATCTTTATATACGAACATATTTTAATTTAATAACTTCGACTATGCATAGCATTCAAGACGTTTTTATTTTTTTTAACAAAAATGCTGTTATGGAGCAACAGTTTAATTTAATATTGAGAAACCACTTGTAAATGTTTTTTTTTTGATTTATCAATATCTATATTTCCTTTATAATTTTTTTTTTCATCTTTATTAGAATCGTCGAATTAGTCGTCTACAAAACGATTTAAAAATTGTTAATGATGAACTTATTTGAAATTAGTAAACAATAAATAAATAAAAGTCTGCCTACGAAAATAATATAATACATTTTTAAATAAAACTACTTTCTTAATAACTTAATATTAAGCATTATTTAGTAATATAATATAAAGAACGTATTACTATACCGTGAACATCTCGATATTGTTTTATTTCCGAAAACTTAAATTCATGGTTTAAAGGTAAAGGTTCCATTGCCGATTTCTGTGTTATTTTTAAACTCCGTACCTTTTTAAAAAATATCACTTATCAGATATTTTACGATCTCAAAGTTCCTATTAGTATCTTTTTAATCCTTATTAGACAAATATTGAAAATATTTTCAACACAATTTATTAGAGGACTGTCAAACCTGATCTGCAATAAAATAGAATACCTTGTAACGTACGTTTCCCCAGCCCCCCACGTATCAATTTTTCCAAATTTTTTTTCCCAACATTTAGTACGTCATTTGTTTGTATTTGTTTGACCAAACTCAGAATTTTTTTGATGTCGGGGCTGGGGAAACGTACGTTACCTTGTATTTATATAACGGTCGTATAGTACTTGTATTTAGCCTCTTGCTTTTTTTTAATTGTTGTGTGGCAAAAGAATATTTTGTTAATATTATGTTAATTATCAAAACAGTAATAAGGTAGAGCAATTGATAAAAAAAAATTTAATTTTTAAGTTGTGATCGTAACGATCCCAGACTTTTGAAATAAAAACTGATGTTTCAATTGAATACTTACCTATTTATGTTGGTAGATAGATAGGTACTATAATATAAGGAAATAGCACATTCATCAATTATTTAGAATAGTTTATTGACATAAGCTATTTTGTTTTAGGTTTGTTTAATCCTTGAATAAGGCAAGTTCCACCTAAAACTGGTATGTACTACAACTTAATAAGATCATGTAACAAATTTACAATAATACATAAATGTGTGTGCCTTGGTAAAGGAAATAATACGATTTTTTGAAAACTACCAACTGATATCTGAATTTTGGCCAACTCCTGTTTAACCGTTATAGTAGTAAGACGGCGACTTGTATAGGCAATATAGGTACATACTTATTAGTCTATTTAATATTATAATAGTGAAAGCACAAAAAATACGATGCGTAACTATGTACTAAATTATTATTATTTATTACCTACCAGTATGGCAGTATGTATATATTATAAACATTAAATCAAATATTTTTGAAATTTTGGAAAATGTATTTGTCATTTCATAAAATTTTTTTATAATTTTTATATTGTTCTATATAAAAAAGAGAAAATCATTTTATACTTTTTTATTTAATCAAAAAATACATATTTTGTTTCGCTTTACATTAATTAAACACAAGCGTGTGTAATAATGCATAGAAAGATACGTGCTGTATAATATTCAATTATTAATATAACTTGGTACATTTCAAATATTTTCAATATTTATTTTTTTAGGATATTATAGGTATTATATTAAAGTGGAATTTGAAAACTATTTAATCTAAGATCTGGGTTTGTTTTTCTTCGTATAATATTAAAGTATCCTAGTGTAAACGAAGCTACTCCCAATTCCAACGAATAAGTTAAACCTTATCTCCCTGAACACGTTGCACGATTCGTGTGTTTACAAAAATATAGGGAAAGAAAATACAAAAAAAAAATGTAGGTAATGACAGCTCAAATTAAAAATGGATTGTATTTAATAGACCTATTTACTGTTTTTCAATACAATTTTTATTTTAAATTGTGAAATTGATTTTCATTAGTTGCATTTGTTGTTGTTGTATTATGATGAATAAATTAGTAATCTCATACATTTTTTTTTAGATTTCTTCAGCTGCAAACAATTTACAACTTTTACAAACTTATCTACAGTTTTTTAATAATAATGATAACATAACTGATAATGGAAATAAATTGTTCTATAGTTTTTACGTGGAATCGTTTTAACATTATTCTTTTTTCTCTTATTTAAATCGGCACATTAAGTTAATTTTATAATAATAATCTACGTTTAAAACCGATGGCAATAATTAAATATTATATTTACTAAATCATTCTGGATTAATGAGTACTAAACTATTTAATATTATTGTAAACTCAAATATTACAACACTAAAGATATTTTTAGGATTAAGTGATGGGAAATGATACAATTAAATTCTAGATTAGCTGGTACATTATATGTTATATGTTAAATGCTTATATGCATATTAATGTAAATATACAGCCCGTAAATTGTTTACGAACTCTCGCCTTTAAGCGCTGAAAAAAGTTAGGCCCAGTGATTCAATTGTAATGTGCTGATGAGTTACTTCTTATTTAACTTGATTAATCATTACGATAAATTTGAAGTTATTATATAATATGCTTACAAATATTTTTATACATCGTGATTAAACCATATTGTTTACATAATCACAACAAAATAAATTGCGTTTATTTTTAAATTGACTATGCAATAAAATAGTTTATGTTAAGATTTAAAATGCGTGTTGTCATTTAATATAGTCATAATTCTATAATCCCATTATATTGTTCGTATTTATTTGTATGAATACACGATTTGAAATTAATTACATTGTTTTAGTGGTAAAAATTGCATACAATGGAAATTAGGTAAAATAAACTAATTATTTTTCACAATCGTTGACGAAATAATTTATTATGTATTATAAGGGAAAAAAAAGTGAAAAAGTAACATAGATATTATGGAACAATAATAGAACAGTAATGTTGTGCAGCTGGTGACTTGAGAAAAATTGACCTGAATACAAGCCTAGTTCTAACTTCTAACCACGTACCAAGACAAATCGTCAAGTTTCGTTTTGCTGGGAAACCTTCAAAAACTATACGTCCGCACTAATAAACTTAATAGCGATGATGATGATAATAGTACCAAACTTTACAGCCTTTACTGTCTATTAAAAACGGTTAAATGCTGTTCGGGCGACGAGACGTGAAACGACGTGTCATTCGGTCTGTCGGACTCGGCCGTCCAACTCGTCGACCCGTTACACTGGATAGCAGCTGTAGTCATAACAACCTCCTGACCGGCCCTAGAACAGTTAACCACATTTCGAGTTTAGAACCTTGTTTAGATGCCACGGAAGTTCTTGGAATCCCTTAACCACACAGGACGGCTATGTACAGGTATATTAAAATACATCATTAATAGGAATTCGGTCTTGGTTTAATAAACATGCATATTTTGCAACAACATTATTTGGTATAACGTTACAATTTTAACCTTCGATTCTGACACATATCAGTGTAATATAATACTAGTCGTAAATGTAATGAGTACCTATACAAATATTTTTTAATATTTGAAAAAAAACAACCATTTATAACAGGATTTTAGATACGTTAGTACTTTTTTTACCTCGGGCCGTAAAAAAAAAACTTTACTTTAGTCATCAGAATTTTAGGTATTGGTATATAATTTCATATTTAACGACGTTTTTATTGTACTCAATAATTTTAATGACTTTCTTTAATACTTAACTTAATGAATACTACAAATGAAAAAAAAAATTATATCGGCTTACATTTCCAAAAATTATGTGGCGGCAGGCGAATAATTACTGTACTCGTTGCTCGACCAATATTATCTATACTGTAGATTCTACAGCCACCGTGATCGTATGAAAATAAGATTATAAGATACGATAATGCTATTTACATTATTAAATGACATTGTAACAACAAAAACGTTACGGTATGGCGATACGGGATTAAATATGAAGAATGTATACTGTATTTTTTTTTTTTCGTAAATTAAAATATTATAGTTCTTTCGAGGTCCAGATCCTAAATGATGGCCGGCCGGAGTTGGTCCGAGGGCCGTATTTTGGCCACCACTGCGTTAGTATAAACGAGTGTAAATAGAAGTCTGAATTAAAATGAAAAGTAACTTTAGTTTTACATAAATTATAAGTTATAAGCTTATAACCATTAAAGAATTGATTGTACGTATCATTTTTAACTTAATTAATTATTCGGTTAATATAATATGACGGCTTTTAACTTATATTGTTATTCAAACAGGCAAATGATGCTCTAAGTATAATACGTGCGCGAGGTAGGTATATAATAACAGTTTTGTTTTTTTGTTAATTGACTAACCGAAGTTAACTTAGTAGTTTTGTTTGTAAGATATAAACTTAATAAATTTGCATAATATTTATTCTAACCGTATTTGAGTCATAATATTGAGAATTTATCTCCCAAAACCATTTGAACACTGGGATTTCTGAATTTAATAGCCAGAAACTATCGTATTTAAATTGTCTCTCTACTCAAAAGACCTTTTGCTGTTTCTACTTAAGATTTGTGTTAAAGTGTGGATCATAACTGTGCTGTTTGCATTGTTCTCGATAATTCTAAGAAAAATCATTAAGATTCGTCAGTTGTACACTTTAACCTGAAACATTGTCGCATTGATCATACCTTAAGTAGGAAGTCCTTACAATGCCTACTCCATTGTTTTCTAGTATTTTAATATATGAATTATATCCTCTAAGTATATTAATCAAGCAAATCTGTTTAGACGGATAATATTTACTTCAATAAACTAACCACTGGCTTTTTATAATTATATGTTCGGTAAAGACGATACTGGATTATTATGTGAAATAAATTCCAGGGTTCCCTAATCTTCTCACACTTTATGTAGTTCTCCGCTCGTTTCCTTCTGTGTATAACAAAACCGAAGTCATGACTTGCACGACTGCATTATAGGAGGCTTTAATCTAAAATTGAGAAACGTTCGTACTAGTAACTCGGATACTACTTTATATGTCATTACGTTTGTAAAGATAATTTTTTATGTATTCTTATAATACCTACCCAAAAGTTTATAAGCCACTGGATTATTCCGTTATGATATGATTGGAAATTATTCTATATATATTAAAAACCGCAAGACTATCAAATTGTATTATTTTATTCAAGCATTTTTATTTATAATACGAACAAGTTTTGTACAATGTTATTTTGTATTAATATATAATATAATTTTATTTAGATTAAGGTTAAAAGGTAATATTATTATGAATTATACTAACATAATAATATTACATTTTTTTTAATAATAGGCACCTACTTATGTATTATACTAGTAGATAATACATGTTTCAATAGAATAAGCTCTTTATTTATCACTGTTCACAATAGTTAAAGTTAATATTATAATATTACTTATTTTTAATTTCGATGTTAGATAATTTTGGAATGTTTGTATTTTTTAATCTATTATCTATGATGTATGGACACTTATGCTCTGACGGCAATCAAATCTTTTTTGTTATAACATAAATAAGATTTTTCCGCCGTCTTTGGTTCCGTTAAAAATGAAATATAACCGACGATGTAAAGGTCTAAAATCGTACACATATGATTGATGAGTGTTGTTTCGTTGGTGGTAAGAAAATAGAGGAAAACGCCGGGAAAATTGGTGTCATTGAAACATGCCAACCGAATACTCGTGCCAATCAGTCCTTCTCGTGTCTATATATGGGTCCCAAAATTGGCAATTGGTTTTTATACGTATTTTATGTAAACATTGTAAATCAGTTTTCAACCGAATGACAGAGCTTCATGCATGCAGGTGGATATTACCAGGAACTTTATTTTACCGTGTGTCAAATCAAATTATCCACGAAATCCCGTCGTATTATGGTTCAAATATATTTTTAAATCTTTACTTCAGCTTTGAATCATAAATAATAAGAAACATCTAAGAATTATTATGATTATTAGGACTGTGCTGAATTTAAATTTCAAATTATATTAGGATACTTAACGTTTTTTATAAAACAGTGAGGTAGGCTTTTTATTAAATTACTAAATGAATTTTGTGTCATAAAATTAAACTTATAAAAACTAAATT